TCTCGGCGGGGGGTGGGGGCAGCGTGGCCATGTATATGGAGGTCAGAGGTCGACCTTGAGTGTCATTTCTCAGGAGCATCCATATTTTTTTTTTTTAAGGAAGAGTCACTCATTGGCCCGGAGCTCTCCAGGTAGGCTAGGCTAGCTGAGCCCCCAGTGCTGGGATCACAAGCATCCTCCAGTACCCCTGACTTTCTGAGGCTGAAACTGGGGTTCTCACACTTGGTGGCAAAGTACTTTATTGACTGAGAACTCTCCCCAGCCCTGACTTGCTGCGAGTTTGGCTCAGGGATCCTTTGGACAATACTTAGGTTTTAAGACCAGAGAGCGGACAGAGCCTGTTTTCTGGCGTGCTTCTGATACCCACACGTTCTGACTGGACATGATTTGCACAGCAGCATGACATGACAGTAGCATGTATGACAATGGTTTGCCAGAAATCTGGAATGCAGAATAAGGCTGACTGCAAACCCTTGAGAGCTCAGCCTGCTTGGGGACAATTGCTGTTCCTCCCTAAGTGACTCTGAAGGCCCACAGGAAGCAGGGAGTGGTTTCGCTAGCATTTGTCTAAATAAGAAAATTAAGTAGTCTTTTCTAATTAGGAAACTAATATTTTACTTAAGTAATTCCCAGTGCCTGGATTGGGAGCCAGCCAATACTTGGATTCTAGCCTTGATCCTGACCTTGTTTAGCTGTACAGTTTTGAACTCAGACTTGCTACCCCCTAATTGCTGCTCTTGTGTGATGGCAATACTGCCATTTGCTTGCTTATTCTGCAGGGTGCAGGGTGGCTGCGACAACATAAACAAGGTTAGAATGTATTGGAAACAATGGAGGCAATTATACCTGTTGCATTTCTGGGACACAGAATATTATTGAGATAGGGTCTCACCTTGGGACCCAGGCTGGCCTCAAACTCAAGTAACCCTCCTCTCTTAACCTTCAGTGGGCTGGGATTGGAGGCATGCCCCACCACGCTTGGCTCTTTTCCAACTTTCTCATCAACGTCTTGAGAAATGGTTTTCAAAAGCCTGCTACTCGGCAAAGGTATGTGATGGACCGTCACTTCTCTGCTCTTTGGGGGTGGGGAAGAGGAGGAGATGAAGTTGCAAAGCTCCAGTGTGTGTCTTCCCAGTGTTGGTGAGAACCTGATGCTGGAGGCCTTCTTACCGTCCTGTTTATCAAGAAGTGTTATCTCAGCCCATTGTGTGTCAGTTGGCGGCATGAATGGTTGAGAAATAAGCTGATCGATACGATCTTTATAAGCTCTCAATTATCTCTGTGTTTCTGGAAGCTTCATTCCTATTTCCATTGTGCCCCACAACAGGACAGGGAACTTGAAGCTTTGTGTTTATGAAAACCCGATGCGAGATGTTCATTTTCTCTGTCACACGCTGGCTACCCTGCTAGGGGAGGTGACCCCTGCTTGGGATGGGCATTGACTTGGGCTGATTCACCTTGCCTGCCTGGTAGGTAGGTTCAAATTTAGTAATGGTTCATCACCTCAAACAGGTGACAGATTATCGATAATTTGACCAGACAGGTACACCCAATTTCATTAAAACATGTAGACCTCTGACCTGCTAGAATTGTGCCTTCCAGGCTTTTCTTCCTTGATAAATACAATGGGCTCTTTGCTGTTGAAATGTCTGGTAAACGTTATGAGAATTCTCTTGCTATCAATGACCTTGTTGCTGGATGCATTACTCTTATCTAATTAGAAGGATACGCTTCATGAGACTCCCTAGTCATGCCTTTCAAAAAGAAGCCTACATTTAAATAGGGCAGTAATACATGCTACATTCTCCTTTGAAACTACTCAAATAATGCAAGGGGGAAATCGTCCTTGTCCCCTCAC